GAGACGATGGGGGGGGGGGGGGGGGGGGGGGCGTTTAATGAAAAGCTAAGAATGAATTAAATCATAAAAATGTTCAATCAAAATATAGAATTTTAAAATCAATCAAAATAAAACACGTAGGCTACTAAAAATGAAATATTTTATTTGTTGACACACATGTCATGTGACCAAGGTCAGAGAACCATGAACATGCAAGTGTGATGATGGCTTATTCAAATATTTATTTTTAAATCTCAGGGGTACTTGAAGGAAATATATTAGGTGAAAGAGGATCAGATGACAAAAAAGTTTGTGAATTTATGCATTTTAATGCCAAGAGTGATAATTCAAATAAAAAAAGAATGTGTTTATCAGTAGCTGATGCAATGTTGAAACACTTTTTAAACCTGAAATGATTTTTTGTAACTCCAATGGTCAAATAATGTGTCTTCCACAAAACTGGAAGACTTTCTGAATGTATAAGCATTAGGCCATTTTAGAAAGGACCATTTTAAAGATGAAAAAGATGAATTAGGGAGAATCAATAAATTATGAATAATTTATTGCTATTGTGTAAATAATATGCAATCATGTAATCCATAAAAAAGTAACTGTAGTCTGATTACGAGTATTTTAAATCGTAATTTAATCTAATTACAAGAAGGCCTACTTAATTTTTGGAATCTGATTGCTTAATCCAGATACTAATGTAATCAGTTACTATCCAGCTCTGGTTATACACTATAATAAAGTCATAAAGTCGTTCAGTCAGAGACGAAATAAGGGAATATGGTGGAGAGAGTCCGCACAGCCTGTTTCATTTAACATATCTGCAGACTGTTTTCGGCTTGAAACCTATTAAAGATACTCTTAACATTTAAATTTCCATTTCTCTCTGAATAATTAAAGATCATTTTGTGCAATTATGGATTGAAACTGGTACCCTAACAAGCATGATAGTGAGAGTGATGTGTATATTGAAGATTGATATTAAATTCATGTGGTATCAGATGATTCAGAAATAATCTGATAAACATTTCACTTTGTGGCCGTTTATTTTGTAGGCCTACTATAGTTAGAGTTCCTGAGAAATTCTTACTGTAGTAAAAAGTGTGACTACAAGCACCAGTCAACATGCCATATTTTAAAAGCTTTGGAATAATATGTAGAGACTTTTGCACATCCTCTAAAATCTATCCAGGCGTCTGTAGAGGAATGGGCTTGTGAATTAGTCATGTTTCTGCATGAATTATGTTTTCTTTGGCAGCACAACACACATCATTATTCAGATTAACATAAGGATTCAACACGTGGATATGATTTCAAGCCTTTACCAAACAGCATGAAAGACATTGAAAGCTTGACCCAGTCATACGCTCACAAGTCACAAGCTGTCGTCTGTACACATTTAGAGATCCATGCTGACGAGTCCACATGGACTGGTATGTATAGCTTATAGTTCTGAGTAAAGGATATAGACATATGATTTTCTATTACGACTAATCGTTTATTCATGTTGAATGTTTATATTTCAAGCTGTAGACTGAATTCCATCAGGATCCGGAGTGTTCTGGTTCATGCTTTTCTCACACTGCTTTCCTCTCTTGCTTTTGGGATACCCGACGAGTTATCCCATCAGTTATCTGGTAAGCTGACTAGTCCTCTTATGTCTTTTGACTTGGTTGGTTACTTGGTGGTTACATTGTTTTACTATTTCACTATAGGAAATGTCAAAGGAAAGATCATTTTCCATCAAATGGAAGGGAATTCAACATACTTGCGTGGTAGTGGGAAGTTGGCATCTTACATACCCACCGTGGTTTCATTTGAGCATTTTGACCCGAGGCATACCCTGCGCTCTGACACTTTCATATACACATGGGACTTAGGCAATGGGTGATTGTTATTTGAACAAATAAATCCATTTCAATGAACTAAATGTTTATCTTCGAAATAGTTTTCTTTACAGTTGTCATTGTTTTTTAGGGAAGTGCGTAAAGGCCCAGAGCCTTTTGTGACATGTCACTACACTTTACCAGGGAACTACACATTTCAACTGAGAATTGAAACCAATACACCACAACATTCCAGAATAACTGGGCTGTACTCTATAGATTTGACTGTGTTAGGTGGGTGCAGAATCATTATCTCTTTTAATTGACTTTTTATATGTTACCAGTGGTGTTAACATGTCAAAGATCCTTGTGTTTTGTAGATGCCATAAAGACCATTGAATTGAGAGGACCTTTAACTTATAATGTGGACCAGAGCAGCAGTCTGTCCTTTCAGGTTGGAGGAAGGTAAATGTATCTCAAGAAAGTAAAAAATTATTTGGGAGGACTGTTATTTTTCATATAGTCTTTTATTCTTCATCATTCTGAAAAAAGTCAACAGACTTGACTTTTTATACATTTTTTTTTCTATTGCATGTGATGTGTGTAGTCCTCCGGTTTGGCTGTGCTGGAGAGTTTTGTCTGATTGCCAAACACCCAGTCCAACTTCTTGCAATTTAGTCAGGTTCTACGGGAACCAATTCAATCTGAACTACACCTTCAGATCAGTAGGAACATATTGCTTAGACCTGAGTGTGAGAAATATTATCAGCAACCTCCAGACATCCTACAACATCTATGTGCAGAGCAGCCGTAAGTATAATAGATTTATCTCAAACAATTCTTCATGAGTAACTTTGAAATGTTTCCTGTATTAAGTGGAATACAAAGTATTCCTTATGTTGTGGCACAAATGGAACATACTGTATATAATGTCACAAAATGAAAATTCATCATTTACTCACTGTGTTTTCATTCCAAACCTGCATGGCTTTTCTTTTCTTTTCTTTTGTGGAACACAAAATGAGATATTAAAAGTTGTGATAAAGTGAATGGGGACATACATAGTGATGACAGAAGTTTTGTTTTTGGGTGAAATATCCCTTTAAATGCATGGAAAGATGAGCCATGTGAATAAGCATGACCATTAAAAATCACTGTTTGCGTCAGGAAATACTGTGCTTGACCACATTTGGATCAAAACAGCATCAGTTATACAGCTTAAGGCCACTGATTGTTCATTCATGATTCATTTAGCCTCAGCGTGAAGAAGTCTGAATTACCCAACAGTACAGCATTTTGACTTTCAGATTTTCAAGAAAAGTTATCAAAAGATTTCCGATTGATCTCGTTAGATTCGGAGTGGCATACCGAATCAAACGATACACAATTTTCCTATGTCAGCCATTTTGAGCATGGACCATTTCAAATTTTGTAATAAAATGCTGTATTTTACAAACGCTTTAGAGTATTGTTATGAATCTTATAGAACTGTTTGCGGGAAAGTTATGAAATAACGAATTTGACAAAGTTTGTGCAAAATGGACACGAGGCTATATCTCCGCAATGCTTTAGTGGTTTCTGACCAAACTTGGTATGTGTTATAAGAGCATGACCTGAGTGTACATGAGTAGTTTGTCACAGCGCCACCTACTGATCAAAATAAAAAAAAAATGACATTTTTGCTTATAACTTCTGAACAGTTTGGCCAAAGATCATAAGATTGGTCTCGTTAGATTCGGAACAGCATACCGAATTGAACAGTACCTAATTTTTACTATGTCGGCCATTTTGAGTTTTGTAGTAAAATGCTGTATCAACAAATGTCTTTAACAGGGGTCTCCAATCCTGCTCCTGGAAACGTACCATACTGCAGAGTTCAGCTTCAACCCTAATCAAACACACCTGAACCAGCTAATCAAGTTGTTCAGGACTACTTCAGGTGTGTTGAAGCAGGGTTGGAAGTTTGAAGTTTGATGTTTGAAGTCTGCAGGAAGGTAGCTCTCCAGGAGCAGGGTTGGGGAACCCTTGTTTTTACTGAGTAAAGACAGCTCCTTAGCTCTACATTTTACCTCTGTTGTGCTTGGCCCCTTAATTGCTGCATGCAGCTATATTTTTAATGTTTTTCTTTAGTGTCTCTTATACTATATCAATTAGCCAGTAGGTGGCGACAAGTGACTGTCTTCATGAACAAGTCATTGAATCATTATTCAGCCAATTCGTTCAAAATACTGATTCATACAGGAACAAAACAAATTCCACGTTGTGCTGCTCAGAAACTAGATGGTTTGCCCTGTGGCGTTAGGGATGAAAAGAGTAATTTATTGTGCAATACCCTTTAAACTCGGAGAAAAATAAATTACTCCAAGTCCAATTAATGCAGAGAAGAGAAACCACATGAAGAGAGCGCGGCGCGCCAATAGTGACGGCCGTTCATAAATGATTTGTCGCTCCGTCTGCGTTTGCCCAAATAGCCTACTTTTAAAACATGTAGACAAATGTTTGCTACATACGTAAAATATGTGTTGTGCAACTTAGGCAATAGTGATATATCAGATCATTTTACTGACTTGATATTTGAATTTCGTTCAGCAAAATAAAAATCTTTTTTCAAATAATAGATTCTCCGAATACGTCCACATATGCAATCTTTGATCATATGCAACCAAATATATAGGTGTTAGCCTATTTATAAAATAATGCAGCAGAGTTTTGGTGTGTGTGTGTGCATTTGTGAATTATATGTGTCAAATTTACAGATGCAGAAAAGTGCCTAAA